AAGATATCAGATATACATGCCGAGTATTTTTTTTAACTAATTCAAACAAATTTTAGCACAAAAACCAGCAACATGTGCGTTTGCTATTTCTCCGTACGAATGCAAATGCCTGAAGAGAAAAAAATCTGGAATAATTTTTCCATGTAAATGGCTGCAATTTCATTTGTGTCTTTATCATCAATTAAAAATGTTTTGAAAGGGCCGAATTTATTGACAAATTATTAACAATTTAAAGTTTTGAAGGTTTGAATAAACTTGAAGCAGTTAAAATTTGTGTTACAACCGCCCTGGCTTCTGATACTACTAAAAAAATCCAATGTATTTTGGTTAAAATATCTTAAACATAAAGTATCAAACCCTGTCTTATTTAATTTTGGCCAAATATATTGCTTATAAACGCTTAATAGTATTAATCCAATTTTTGACGCATGGTCAAATCAAGGAATTTAATACTTGCTCCGCATCAAACCAAAATTATGTTCAGATTTATTTGTTATAGCACATCGGAGTTAATTACCCGTTTATGGGGTTACTGACACGCCGTTTTAACGCTATCAAACCACCAGTCGATGAACAAGTGCCATAGGTAGTTGCCGAAACATCTACCCTGGTAAAATATGAATTTTGAAGTCCAATGGCTACACGATTTGAGAAAACTTTTGCCGCTAATGATACTTTAATGACTTTTAAAGATTTTTGGTAAATATGTCAAGTGATTAAAGTGGGAAAACATCGATATATGCTTAACTTAGTCATACTCATTAAAATTCAGAATATCACTCCGAGCAGCTTCGTGTTGTAGACCTTTTGTGCTGGTAAATTTGACATTGCATTTTGCAAAGTTATTCCTCATACACTTCAATATATGAGGACGATCAAATACCGAAACTGTTGGATGGCCATTTGTTTCAAATTGAAATCTGTGATCATCATTTTTTCTACGATGATGTTTATTTGTTTCATTTATAAGCATGCTAACAGCTTTGCAATCTACACGGTATTGATCGCAAGCTGTTGCCACAGTGTTTAAACCAATACTAAGTATATTTTCTACTTCTTCAATGCAACATTTCAAATTGAGAGCATTAACACCACCATGAGTAAAATAAAAATGACTGGTTCTTTCCACTTTTCCTTCAAGCCCTTAATCATAAACACCAGTGCATGATCGGCAGATGCTTCAATTCTACCATTAGCAAGCTCTTCGAAAACTACACCATAATCTTGAAATTATTGAAATTTTATCAAACATCATTATGCAATATTTATCTTTATCATCACTTAGATGATGACTGCAATGTTGGGAAAATTCTTTCGGAAAAGCCACTATGCATCGGAACGTTTGTAAGTAACTTTCGTAAAGAAGTTATTGAAGGCAAAATAAATATGTCTCCAGAATCTATATGTTTTTGGACTTTTTTAGGAGGACTTTTGGATTTTTTTCTGCGGATTATGTTGTCGTAAATCTGGCAGAATCAAAAATTCATCCAATTCTTTAAAATAATAGCAGACGTATTCAAAATTAGAAATTAATTAATAATTTTTAATTTAATTTATAAATACCTGTGTCTATTTAAAGCCTATACTAGATGACCCGACAGACGTTGCCCTGTACCCATCTACATTTTTTCAACATCCTGTACTAATATTTACCGTTCAATTAAAATTAATAATTATTGTTTTTCGAATTACTATTACCACCAATATATGAGTGTATGTAACACTGCTTCAAATAAAATGATGATTCTCAATTCCCACGGTTAACACTTTAATTATCCCTTTAAAAAATAATAAAAAATGTTCAATAAAATTGTATATTAAAAATTATACATTGCAATTTATAGAACAAATTTATTTCCAATAGCTCGATTTATTTTAGTGCCAAGGTTTATCCAATATTTTTAGTCATACCTGTAGATGTGGATGTACAAATGAACGATTTTTTGTTTATTGGCGACACAAAAAATCATCGTCTGCTTTTGTGATGTATTTATGGTCAAGCATAAGATACACGTGTTGAAAATGGAAGTCTTTTAAAAGGTATAACAAATTCAGAAAGAATTAATGTATAGCATACGCGGTAAAGGTACAATATCACCTTGGATTTTTCTACCAAAATAATTGCTTCAATAATGTTGCCTATAATTTTTATAATTTCGAACAATATTTTAACTGGCTTTTAGTAATTTTAATATCAAAATTACATTTTTCTCACTAAAAATTCAATATACATTGTTTTTAAGAACATATTTGCAGTGAATTAATCTTTCAAATCTTGTTCACATGTTCTCTATTCAACCTACGATCAACAAATTATTGCAGTAAATGGAGAGGAAAAAAAGCATGTGCCCTGTGATTTTTTTACTGTGTCCAATTTGCTTGATATTTTGATAATATGTTAATCTTAAATTAAGATTCTTAATCTTAAGTTCAGAAGTGAAAACAATTTGCACTCCATCACCACCACCCCCCCCTTAATTGGATTATAACTATTTTAATTCTGATTTTATCATAACTTGTAATATACTATTTTAAAGGTAATTAAATGAGCTACAACTTTCTCTATCATAAATTTTACCGTAACTTGTTTTATTTTGAAACGGCGAAGGGTCAAAGGGCTCGAAAGACACTTTGGTTGGGCATCCGTGCACTTTTTTTGGGTCACAGAAAAATAATAAAAAGCAATAATTAGTCAGAAAAGGACCTTCAATTTTCTTCTATTTCCATTCATATGTATCTTCTATTCTTTCAGAGATATAATAATGAGAAGTTGGTTGTTTTATTTTGAATGGATTTTTTTTTCATGAAATCATGAGTTGTTTGAAAATCATTTTTACTAAAGTTGTGGTATTTTCTAGAATCCATCAAAATCTCTTAAGGGGGGCGATACATGTAACAAGAAAAAAAAATCGATTTTTTTTTCATAAATCGTTACAATAACATCTCAAAAATATGCCTGTAAATATTCAAAACAAAATTATCATTATTTATACAATAAAAACTCATTTAAGTGCCACGCCTCAACTCGACGCTTGACTGCTATTGTACTCTTATCTGTTTCTGTGTCAAAACTTTAAACGCGTTTTTCTCAAAACGACATTTTTGAAATTTGCGGGCGCGATAACTCAAAAAGTTCTCAACCGATTCCAATGAAATTTTGCACACATCTACTTTACAGTAATAGCTTCTAGTTAAACCTCAAACATTCCAAAAAAATTTTCAAAAATTAACCCTTTTACCAAAAAAACCATTGAAAAAAAGGTGAAAAATCGAACTTCTTTTTCTAAGGTGTGCCAATTTACGATTTTGTGACTTTTTTAATTTTTTTTCGGTTTAACTAGAAGATATATGTTTTATGAACACGTACAAACTATTTTTTTTAAATTCAGATCACCGTACGAAAAGTGAGAACGCCCGCAAATTGATGGCGTTTTCCGAGAGGGTCTTGGCAGATTTATTTTTACGGCAGCCATTTAAAAAAAAAAAATTAAAAAAAAATTTTTTTGTGTATTCTAATATATAATAAATAACCCTAAAAAAGTTCAAAAAGATTCAATCATTCCTTCCCAGTTTAAAAAGTCCTCAAAAAATGGTAAAAATTAAGGCGATTACATGTATCGCCCCCCTTAAACCAAGTTAATTGTAGATGGAATACGATAGTTTTTAATTTTGGTGGAAAAAATAAACTTGAAAATTTCATTTAGATGGAAAAAAGCATTGTATGCGTCTTTCATTTGCATGATAGCTCACTCATTTTACACGCAAAAGTACTCATTTTAAAACTATTTTGAGCACTATAAAAACCCATTTTCATATCTAGCTTAATATTGTTCCTAGAACACTATAAAACACCGATTTATTAAGATTTTAATTTATATAATTTTGTTTATTTCATTATTTTCGTTAAAATGTATATTTTATATTGAATTATAATTGTATGTTTGAGACGCAATCACTGACATCCAACCGTGAGACGCATGCGCAGACTGCATCGCCTGTCAGACGCATGTTGACTCTATCTTATTATATTATTTTAATTTTTAGCACGTCTCAGCTGCTTTTCGGCAATAACAATGTAAACATTACATTTTTCTTATTCTTAATAATAAATATATTATATTTTAATATTGTCTTAGCCTATAAGTGAATAGAAATGTTTGGCAAATGACAGACTTCACTTGTTTTCAATGTCAAACTATGCCTTAAATATTTTCAAGGTCAAACAATGATGAGCGGTTTTTGTAATTTTTTCCATGTATTTACAATCTAACTATATTTATATGAATCTAAAAATTCTAGAAAATTTGCCGAACAAACTTCAGGAAGATTCATGATAATCCGTATTATAGTTTAGGAGGATTAACCATTCATACATTGTTATAGAAGAATTTTATATATAAGATATATATATATATATATATATATATATATATATAATAAAAATGTTTCTTGGGCATCCATCCAGTAATTAAAAAACAGTTTTAATGAAAAATGTTTTTATTTAGAGAACATACGTTTCGGGTCTTGATTTGACCCATCTTCAGTGCTACAATTAAATAATTCAGGGTTACAAATTAAAACAATATAAAAAATACATATTTAACAGACAAAAATAAGTAAAACAATGTATATGAAAAGTATATATGAAACACAACAATAAAATAAACAAATGTAAAGAAACTCACCATACAAATAAACTTTGAAAAATAACACAAAAACACACAAAATTGCACGAAAAAAATAAATATGAAATAAAAAATTGATGAAACGTCGAGTTATGAAAATTTAAAAAAATTGTAAAATTAAAATAAATGATAAAAGGTTGTCAAATATCTCCCTTCCGCCTTTTTGTCTTTTGAATTTCGCGGCTATGTACAAAGCGCTACAGAGCTCGTATCTGGCAATACTATACATAATTTGAAAGGTCTTGACATAACCTACAAACGACGCTATGCATGATTAGTTTGGATATTGCGTTCAACAGTTATAGACGTGTGAACATGGAGTTCACTAACGCCGAAATTCGCGCTATTTTAAAGTTTTCCTTCGTTAAAGGCAAATCCGCTAGAGAAACGTTCCGTGAGATTAATGGTGTTTTGGGGGATGGTACTCTATCACTTTGAACCGCGGAGGAATGGTTTCGACGATTCAGAGCCGGTGAAAACGACACCATGGATAAGCCAGCCGGCGGAAGACCTGTGACGACAAATACCGATCAAATCATGGAATACATCGAGTTAGACCGGCATGTGGCATCTCGTGACATCGCCCAGGAGATGGGAGTTAGTCACCAAACCATTTTAAACCATCTGCAGAAGGCTGGATGCAAAAAAAAGCTTGATGTTTGGGTGCCGCATGATTTGACGCAAAAAAACCTTCTGGACCGAATCAACGCCTGCGATATGCTGCTGAAACGGAACGAACTCGACCCATTCTTGAAGCGGATGGTGACTGGCGACGAAAAATGAATCACATACGACAATATCAAGCGAAAACGGTCGTGGTCGAAGGCCGGTGAATCGTCCCAAACAGTGGCCAAGCCGGGATTGACGGCCAGGGAGGTTTTGCTGTGTGTTTGGTGGGATTGGAAGGGAATCATCCACTATGAGCTGCTCCCATATGGCCAGACGCTTAATTCTACCATCTACTGCGAACAACTGGACCGCTTGAAGCAGGCGATCGACCAGAAGCGTCCAGAATTGGCCAACGGGAAGGGTGTAGTGTTCCACCAGGACAACGCCAGACCACACACTTCGTTGATGACTCGTCAGAAGCTACGGGAGCTCGGATGGGAGGTTTTATCGCATCTACCATATAGCCCGGACATAGCGCCAAGTGATTACCACCTGTTCCTGTCCATGGCGAATGCCCTTGGTGGTGTAAAGTTGAACTCAAAAGAGGCTTGTGAAAAGTGGCTGTCCGAGTTCTTCGCAAATAAGGAGGGGGGCTTCTACGAGGGAGGTATTATGAAGTTGCCGTCTAGATGGAAACAGATTATCGAACAAAACGGCGCATATTTGAACTAAATCCGATCACTGTAATACTTTTTATAAAGCATTGAATAAAGAGCAAAAAAGCGAAAGGGAGATATTTGACAACCTTATATATTTTATTATAAAAAAGCTTATTCCAAATAATTCCAAATAAAACGAACATGTTGTCAGTTTGGAAAATGTGTTACGTGTGTGTACGAGAGTAAAATGTGTGCGTACGTGCTTGCGGAAAATAGTGGAAACTGTATCGTCATTGGATGAGAGAACGGGATAGAGAGAATTTTAGTGGTTTCATATTACGAAGATTTTCTCAGCGATCATGCGCAGTAGGAACATAGAAAAAATATACATCCATAATCAACGGTTAAACACACTATGTGGATCAAAATGAAAATATAAAAAACATAGGGTGCGTTCGACTTGGACGCTTACGCGCTGTGAGCGCTCACGCTTATAAGCACGAATTTTTAGCGTTCGACTTGGCCGATAAGCGCTCAGAATCGATAACTAAATTCCGTTCGTTTTGGATACTGTGAGCGTCAATAAGCATCAAAATGGCGGCAACTGTCTGTCAAATAATAAATAATTTATTAGAAATTATCAATGATGAGTCTGATGATAGTGATGAGTTTGATATGATTGAAGATAGTGATAATGATATGGAATGGAAGTATTGCGAAGCTCATTTGAATTTATCTTTAAAAAAAGAACCTATACCAAGAATAAAAAACTTTGTGGAAGAGGTTATACCAGCATTTTCAGATAATGAATTTAAATCTCATTTTAGGTAAATATTTATTTCAATTTGAGGATTTAGTTAACAAAAAATTATCTTAACCCTTCAGTTTAATTACATGCAAATAATATGTTTTTAAATTTTAGACTGTTCCGATCAACATTTGATTTTGTTCGTGAAAAAATTGAACCATCGTTGATCAGAAAAACCCCAGGATGTGAAATCACCAGACAAACAATTATTTATCGCTTTATGGAAAATGGCTACTCCAGATTCGTATCGGTATAATTAAAAAATCTTACTTATATTTTGAATAACTATAATTATTAAAAATTAAATATTAACCTAATACATTGTTCTTTAAGCTCAATTTGCCAAAGGTTTGGTGTCAGTTTTGCAACAGCGTGGTGGAGTGTGCGAAGGGTTACATTAGCTCTAGTCGAAATAGCTCCAAATTTTATTATCTGGCCTGAAAATGAAAAGCTTGCTGAAATTTCTACTGAATTTGAAGCTACAAGCGGCTTTCCCAATGTTATCGGTGCAATTGACGGAACACATATAAATATACCTGCACCTCGAGAGCATCCGGAATGTTATGTCAACAGAAAAGGACATCATTCAATTCAATTACAAGTAAGTAAGCAGTCATGTGAATTAACAACATTTGTAAATATTCATTTTTACTGTTTGTTCAAAAATAGGCTATTTGTGATGCTCGATGTAAATTTATTCATTGTTATGCTGGAAATGTTGGTTCTGTACATGACGCACGAGTATTACGTCTGTCAGAAGTGAATGATTACCTCAACGATGAACATAAATTCCCGAACGAATCTCATTTAGTCGGCGATGCAGCTTACCCTCTTCACAAACATTTACTTACACCATATCGAGATAATGGGCACTTATCAGCAAGACAAAAAAATTATAATTTTTGTCATTCATCTGCACGTATAGCAATTGAACGTGCATTTGGATTACTTAAAAAAAGATTTCGCAGTTTACTGACAGTTCTCGACATGAATCGAACTGATTTAATTCCTGAGTACATAATCGCTTTTTGTGTCATGCATAATATATGTTTATTAAAAAACGATGAATTACCGGTGGAGGAAGTAAAAGAAACAAATTGGAAACATAAATGAAATTTATTATAATAGAATTTCACCTGCTGCTGGTGTTGATAAACGAAATCGTATATGTGAGCAATTAATTATAAGAAATGTTTAATGAAAGCAACTATAAGTCATTTCAATAGCTAAAAATTACAATTATGAGAAATGAACATGAACAAACTATGATAAGATTTTTATAATTATATACACAAGAAAATTGTAAATTAAAAATCAAATAATATTATACATTTAATAAATTATTTAATCATGTAAATTAGCATTATTAGAATTAGAATTAGCTTTTACAAGCTTTTCTAATAACTCTAAAGCTTGTTGTTTATATTTATTTGATTCTTTAGCTTTTTGTTCTTTAAACGCCATGTGAAGCGACGGTCCTCATTTTCTTCGCTTATCCTAGACCTTTCTTCTAATGCAGCAATTACATCGCTGGCGGGGGTACTTTTTGCTTTTTTTCCTGCCAAAAAAAAAATTATATTATTAGCATAGAGAAATCTTCAAAACAAATTAAATATCCTTACGGTTTGCTTCAATATCCATGTTACTGCTACTGCTACTCCCGCAACTAGCTTCGGATAAAGTCCTTTTTTTCCCAGTTGAAGAGCAAGTCGATACAGGTGTTATTGAAGGTTTATTCCCGATCAGATCATCCATTAACTTAAAAAATAAAAAATTTAAAAAATTATGGTTTTCTGGAAATATAAACAGAGTTACCCTTACAGTCAGATATGGCCAATACTTAGCTGAATTTCCAGACTTGTTATTGTGGTCTCTTATTTTCTTATAGGTCTTTTTCATCCCTGAAAACTTGGATAAACACTGAGGACCTGTGATGATGTATCCGTGAGTATTCAGTACTGCACTAATTTCCTGTCATAATTTCTTTTGCGACATTTTCCCACTGATAAAATTCATTTGTCGTTTTTCGTATTCATCGAGAAGCAAAAGAATTGCTTCGTGGGGCCATTTAAACGCTGTAATAAACAATTGGCTGTTAAATTATATGCATATTAATCGATTTTGTTTTGTCCTGATTAAAATTACCTGATTCTTCACTTTCAATTCTCATGAATTCAATACTTACATCGCCATTTAAAAAAGATTGTGAAGTTTCAGGTTCATCTATTTCGGTTTCTAAATATTTACCATTGCGTAGATGAAAATTGAATTAATAATACAAATTTAAACTTATCATGACAATCAAATTATTTTAAAGTATTTAACAATTTCATGGACATTAAAACCCAAAATATTAATGAAACCTATCGCTAACAATACGAGCAGATTGTTTAGCCTCTAGTATTTTCAATCTTACAAAAGTTGCATCTGAAATTAATATAAGCCATTTCACCCAAAAAAATAAGATTTTTAAATAGTACAACAATTGATGGAATCGATTAAGTCACTTATTACTTAAGGATTAAAACAAAGTAGATTTTTTTTTATTTATTTATTTAGCAATATAAACATTTGATATATCCTATTCTCAGACAGGCGGGGGTGCCTGGTATAAGAGATTATGGATTGCTTTATACATTTATGCCTATATCTATTTCATATTATTTTATTTTAAAATATCACATTTTATATAAGAAATTAAGTATAAGAGTCATATTTAACTAATAGGGTCAATCTTGTTTATATCTAGTATAGATAGTATTTTAATTCTTAATTCTAATCTATAATTCTATAATTCTAAAGTCTATAATTTTAAATGTTCTAGCCTTTTAAGGGTGTAAAAAAGCAAAATTGAAACAAAACTTCATCCTTACGTTAACGTAATAAAACCTTCAACCAAACGTAATAAAAATCTTGAATATTTTCCCTTTTAATTAATAAATTGATATATACCTGTTCGTAGTCGCTCTAATTCTTGATCCGTAACAGTAATTCTATAATTTTTATTTGTTTCTGAATCAAATAGATCAACAGAAAATAATTGTAATGCACAGCTCGCCATTTTTGCGTAATTATTGAACTATGAATAAATGAAATTAGGGTTAGCATATTCTTAAGTTGCATTCGTTTTGACAGATAGTAAAAACAACTGACGATGATGCTACGAGCGTACTTATGCTACACTCACAGCGCCAAGTCGAACGATGAAAGCGCGCTCACGGCGCGCTCACAGCGCGTAAGCGTCCAAGTCGAACGCACCCATAATATAACCATGATAGACAATGTAAAAATGAAAAAATATGTGATGAAGAGAAATTTATTAAGAAAAAGTATAGATATTAACTGAAAAACGATAATAGTTATGGAACGATAATAGTTATATAAAAAATTACAACATAACATATATATGTATATATACGCAAAACAATAAATGTATATATGCATACACATACACATACAGATATATGCAAACACATGCACACATAAATATACAACATATATGTAAACACATACATATATATACATATACATACACATGTGCATACACATATATATCTACAAAATATACATGTAAACATATATATACATGCACATATACTCATATATACACATACATATATATATATATATATATATATATATATACATACATAAAAGAAATGTTAGGATGTATTGCGCATATTGAAAAAATTATTTGAAGCATCGCGGTAAATATTGCAAAGAGAAGCCGAATCAAATCGTTTGTTAATAGCAGGTAATATTTGTATGAAAATACTCTCAGCGAACTTTCTGCGTAAAGTGTTGGCTTCTCGATGAATAACTCTTGGATTGGTGAAATTAAAAGAATGTTTAAATTTGGAGACATGTTCGGTGATCATGGTTTTATTTTGTTTCCTGTTCAAACTATTAAGTTCGTGTTGGCGCATTCTTTTTGAGAGAAATTGTGAAGTTTCTCCAACATAACAGCTTGAACAATCATTACAATCAATGACATATACGACGTTTGACGTGCGGGAAATAGGAGTAGGAGTTTTTAAATTAGTGTATAAGTCTGTGAGAGTGCGTCCAGTCGAACACACTAGCTTTAGACCAACGGATGAAAAAAGTTTTTTCTGTGAGTGGAAAAGGCAGTCAATGTACGATAATGAGATGAAGGAATTGAGAGATAGTGAATTTTCAGGAACAGGGTTAAGGTTTTGTGAAATGATACTATTTTGTTGTGATTGGGAGGTAAATAAGGAAGATGTACGGAATTTATTACGAAGAAAGGGTAATCTATTATTTATTACTGAGCGTAAAAGTTGTAGTGGATAGGAATTATTTTGAAGGGTAGAATATATCAAATTAATATTTTTTTCTCAATGTGATGGATGAGAAAGAAGGATGGCATGATCTAGTAAGTTGATGATGGATGCAATCTTAGTAGATTTGGGGTGATAGGAATGGTAGTTTAAATAACGTCCAGACCAAGTGGATTTTTGATACCAACATGTAGTGATGGAGTTGTTATTTATAAAAAGGGTAATATCTAAAAAATTAATGGAGTTGTTAAGTTGTGTCTCTACGGTAAAACAAAGGTGTGTGTCGAAATTATTAAAAGAATTTAGGAAATTGGTTATGTTATAAGTAGGAATGCAAGTTAAAATGTCGTCAACGTAACGTTTGTAAAAAGAGGTACATAAGACAAGGTATTAAGAGTAGAGTTCTCTAGGAACTGCATACAAAGTTCAGCAAGTGGGTACTCAAACTGGAACCCATTGGAGTGCCAAATTTTGTTTAAAGAAGGAGTCGTTGAACGAAAAAAAGTATTGGAAATAATGAATTTAATACATTTCAGGAACCAAGAAAAATTGAAATCTGTGTGTTTGCTGATATCAACCCATTTATGGTCTATGGCAGAGAGGATAAGGTCAGGTGAAATGTTAGTGAAGAGGGAAACAACATCTAAACTTATAAAGGAAAAATCAGATGGTACATTGAGGGAGTTAAGTTGGGAATGAGTTCGAAAGAATTTTTGACAAAATGGGGAGAATTATGAGTGATATTGGATAAATTTAACTAATAAATTTGGATAATTTGCAAAGAGGGGAATTTTAAGTCAGCAACTATTGGTCGAAGAGGAAAACCATCTTTGTGGATTTTTGGGAAGACAAGTTTTGGGGAAATGGGATTGTAAGTTTTTTAATTGTAGAGAGAGGGTTTGGGAATTTGTTTGTTTTCTATGAGTGAATCAATGAATTTCAAAGTATTCCGATTTATAAGGTCGGTGGGATCTGAATTTATAAGTTCGTAAATGTTTACATCAGCTAGGAGGGACATGGATTTGGAAATATATTAACTTTGTTCATGATAACCGTGATGGTTACCCTTATCTGCCCTGGTAACAACAATTTCTGGGTGTTGTTTGATAAAGGATTTGCAAAAGTGGATGTCTTTGAGTAATTCCTTTATGTTGATGAATGTTAGAAATGTCAAATTTTAAAAATGAATTAAGTTGGTTGCAAAA